CACACATACAGCAGCTCAGCCAGGCATCGCCCGCAGCCACACTCTCCTTCCCACCACTGCCTCCCTCATTCATCTTTCATTAGCCCGGCTCACACAGGAGAAACAGCCCGCACCCCCTCCCTCCCTCCACCCCACCTCCACCTCCTCCACCACACATCTCTCCATCTCTTCTCTCTCTCTCTCTCTCTCTCTTTTTTCTCTCTATCTAACCCCCCCCCCCTTCGTCTTATCTTGGTTTCTCTCGCACGTAATCTCTTTTGTTTGTCTCGCTCGTGTCTTGCTGTCTGTCTTTTTGGATATCTCTCCTCCCTCTGCTTCTCTTCCTCACTTGCCGCCTCCTCTGCTTTTTAGTCTTTTCCATTCAGCCTCACTCCTTCAGCCCTTTCCCCTCCTCTCTCCTCCTCCTCCTCCTCCTCGTCCTCCTCCTCCTCCTCCTCCACTGCTCTCGGCCCTCGTTCCCCTTCACAGCCTCACTCTTGCACATTCTCACCTCTTTATCGTGTGCTCCTTTCCTCTTCCACTCTCCCTCTCTCCTTCCTGTGCAGTGCTGTTTCTCTGACACTCGTCTCAGCCCGGCCCCCCCACCTTCCTGTCTCTCTTTCTCTCTCTCTTGCCTGCTCTTTCTTTCTTCCTTTCATTTCGCTCTCCGTCTCTCCCTCGATGGAGGGGAAAGGCTCTTCGCCTCTAATTGCGGCTGTTCCGTTGCCATGGCGCGTGTTGCTCAGCGCTGTGAGGTGCTGTGTGTGTGTGTGTGTGTGTGTGTGTGTGTGTGTGTGTGTGTGTGTGTGTGTGTGAGTGTGTGAGTGTGACTGTGTGAGTGTGTGAGTGTGAGTGTGAGAGTGCGCACGCGCGTGTGCATGTGTGTGTGTATGTGTGGCAGGCAGATGATTGCTTGCTGCCAGCTCTCGTTTCCCGGACGCCGATCGCGTTTCTTTGCAGCAGCAGGGAAAAAAAAAAAATGAGACGCCAGAAATAGCCCCCCTTCACACAGACCCACTCACTCTCACCGCTGCGCTGTCAGAGAAACACACACACACGTAGGCAGACGCACACACAAACACACATATCCACTGCATTTCCTCTCCACCTGACATCCTCAATGCATATGACCTAGGTTATACTTTATGTACACACCTCTATGCACATGTACAGGTGAGCTGTGTGTTTATGTACGTCTGCATGTGTCCGACTTTCTCTGTGTGCATGTATGTGTGTGTGTGTGTGTGTGTGTGTGTGTGTGTGTGTGTTTCCTGCATCTCTAAGGAGGTTGTGTGGGGAGTCCTGATTTATTTCACCTTTAATGGGAAGTGAAATGAATGTGAGCAGCAGCTGGTCTGGTCCTTGGAGATACAGCGGTAGGCTAACCCAGAAAACAGGCAGCGCCACTCTGAAATGGTCGTTACTCCGACAAGCGCCAGGACACTCCACTAGCTGCACTGTTGGCTTTATTTTAAGCAGCGTTCGGGCATTTAGTTGACACCCTTACTCAGATTGACTTACAGCAGGTAGGTTCTCATTACAGGTTTGCCTTCAATCCTTGGCCAACCCAACTTGTGGTTTTCTTCCTGTCACAACTTTTCAAAGGGTTGTTGGAAGGTAAATGGAAAGAGATTAATGGCAAATAAACCTTGCAACCTCACGTTGCAAAAGAGGATAAAAGAGGATTATAACCAGATTTGTGGACGAATCTCCATAATCATCTTCTGTGCTGTTCAGCTGTAGTTCTCACTGGGGTTTAAAGGGAAGAAAAAGAAAAAAAAACAGCTAATTTCTGTAGTTGCTTAGTTAAATAAAGTTAAAGCGCCTCTAACATGTAATTTAAAGGTGCTGAATTTTTTGACATTTACAGAAGGAACCAAACATTTCTATCCAAAGCCATTTCAGTATATTTGATCAATTAATTCCTTCTGTCATTCTGTCATGTGTGGTCTACTTCCTTAATCCGTCTGAAAGCACAATAACCAATCACTTCTAACCCCTACATATAAAGAGTCAGCAGATTCTTGTTACCTTTGTGCGGGTTCATTCATAACAGAGGAAGTCAAGTCGACATCGTTCCACCTCACAGTTTTAATTACTTAATCAACTATGAGCACCCGGTAGTCTCATTCTGTTGGAGAAAATGGCTTAAATGTTGGAGAAATTACATTTGGACGCACAGGTGCAGATGAGGAAGAGCTGCTGCTGAATTGGTCACGCGGGCACACTTTGGCTCCAGTAAACACGATGCAGGCTAAAACAAAGCCTAACGTAGACGCTGTCAGAAAGCGGCTGCTGCTTCAAGAGGTAACAAGCGATTTGTTCCTTCACCTGAAACATTATCATTCCTTACAATATAATGAGCGCATAGACAAGAAAGGGCTCAAACACAAAACCCACAATGGACACTGGCCTATTGCACAAATGTTTGCTAAAGACACCACGTAAATAAAAATGTGCTGCGAACAGAATAGAAGTCATAAATGTGTTATGTAAATCTTTTTTATAATTATTTTTTTCCTTTCATAGTTGCAAGAGTTGGGAAACAGAGCCAGTTATTGTTATTGTTCACTACCAAAAAGAAGTTGAAAAAAAAAAAAAAAAAAGAAGTCCTCTACAAAGAAAATATTGATCACAGATCTATTTAAAAGATACATTGTTACAAAATAAAATGCGACAGATAATCATAATGTGATTTTTGGTGATGCCTCGCTCTAAATAATAGCATTAAATAAATCATCAAATGAATTGATATCCTTTTGTATGACTACGCCCAAAAACATCAACATCAATGCTGAAATGATTGGCAGTTTTTCTTCAATTTAGCCCAAATTTCTCATAATTCCACTTAGTTTGAGTCACAGACACGATGTTGGTACACAGGTGCTTTTCTTTTCTTAGATTTTGCTTGGATAAATATGTTGAAAGCAAAGGATTTTAGTCGTCGGACATCTGGATCTTAAGTTATCAGAGAAGAAAGCCAGGCAAATGTTTGGCAGCTCAGCTCCCAGCCCCTACGAGACGTCCAGCGTCGTTGAATCACTGGATTTTAATGTGAAACTGCTTTGTTCTTCGTTTCTACCCTGTTTTAATCCCCTCGTCCGTTGGTTATGGAGAGGAGGACACCTCTGTACATAATTCGGCTGCCGGTAAAAATCTCCTGAACATCTGGATCATAAATTATCAGAGAAGCAATCAGAAACAAAGGTTAACAGCAATCAGCGTCAGCGAAACACAGACTTTTAGTGTGAAACTGCTTTATTCAGTGTTTTTACCAGTTGTAATCACATGGTCTGTTTGACCTGAAGAGGAAGAGACCTGACTGACTGAATGACAGAATGACTGACACTGAATGACTCCAAACACAGAAGTTGCAAGCGTAGCTAAAGCATCATTTGTTGTCCAAAAGCTTTGCAAAACATCTATATGATCCCACACAGTCGGGGGGGAAATGTTCCTTCGGTATGACACTGGCACTGTAATTTCTTTTGAGTCAATCCCACATTATCCTTGTGCCATTAATAGTAGCAAACCAAAGATACTAATCCGCAGATGAAAATAGTTCCCAACAAATACACTATGTACTCCAAACTGCTGTTCCCTTGTTTTAGAAAAACTTGGACTTCAAAAAAAAAAAAAGTAATGAAACTATATCTTTAGCTACCTTTTTCAACATTTACGCTTGTTTTTTCAGGGACACGCGTGGTGCTCATCCAGTGATCATAATATTGGCAACACTGTTGTAAAGCGATTAAGGAGGAGACTGGAGCAGTGCTGTTACTGGAGATTTCACCAAAATCATTATCCTTTCAAATAACTGGAGACAGGTTTCAGCCCCTGACAATCGAACGGAGATTGAGTGACTGTAGTGTCTCACGTAACTCCTTGTAACCACAACACAACAGTGGGTTTTTTTCCCCCCCAAATGGCTGATTTTGTTTTTTTTTCCTTCCCTGCGGGGCACAAGTAGGTTGAGGATGACTCTCCAGACCCTGAGGTCAACCACTGTGGCCACTTAGTTTACTCTGAACACCCAACCCAGGAACACCGCACATGCGAACAATGCTGTGAGCAGTGCGCGGTTTGATTCTCTCGCTAATAGATCAATAAAAGACATTAGCGGCGGGCTAACCCGGCGAGCAGCACTAATACAGGGTTAATCCAGGGTTAATGGCTGAGCAGCATCATTCTCCGAGGCAGCCATTAGTTCGCAGCCACACCACACAATATCAGGTTCTCCTCCTAGTCATGCCCCAGGCTCCCAGAGAGATAGGCACATGGAGGGGAGAATTGAAAAGAAGAGAAGATCACCCTCATGAGTCAAGATGAAAATGAGATATCCAGACAGATGAAACCCAATGCAAAGAAATGGGAGAGATATTGGGGAAGGGGGATGTGTAGGGAACGTGCACGGAATGAAAAAGGAGGAGGAAGATGGGTCGGTGAAATTGTGGTCAGGAGAAGCGGGAAACTGAGATGAGAGAAAGGGGAGAGAAGGAGAGGAAGGGAGTTGAGCGCTACACTTCTCCCTGTCCTTGTAAAGTGCTGCGTGCTGTCGAAGCGGCAGCCAAGAATGTGTCAGCCCAGCCGTCTCACGCTGCCTAATGGGCTCTTAAACGCTGATATAAAGCTCTCTCGCTCTTTCACCCTCCCCTTTTCCTCTCTCTCTCCCTCTCTTTTCCTGCCTCTGCCGCTCGCTCTCATTACCTCTCGTTCTCACCCTGTCCCTCACTCTGTCACTCACTTGTCCTCTCCCTCTCTTTCTGTTGCTCTGTCCATCAATCCCTCTCTCTGTCTTCCCCTTTTTTCCTGTTGCCATCTCTCTTCTCCCTCTGACTTCTCCTTCAATTACTCCATCCTCCCCTCTGACGCTCTCTTGCAAGTTGTCTCTTTATTTACATTTTTTTTTTTTATGGATGAACTCAACACTTCTGCCTCTCTCTCTCTTTGTCTCTCTCTCTCTCTCTCTCTCTCTCTCTCTCTCTCTCTCTCTCTCTCTCTCTCTCCCTCCCTCCCACCAGGCTCCATAATGCCTTCTACCCACAGGATCCATCCTTCTCCCTCACCCTGTTGCACGTCCTGTCGGCACCACTCCATGGCTTGGCCAATGCCTTTGTGTTTGGCCTGGATAGGGATTGGTGGAGCCTACTGAGCCCTACTGGCATGCAGGTACAGTGACTACAGACACGTATATCTATAGCCCCATTCAGACATGTTAATAATACATATAATTATCATACTTTTTTCTAGTATAAAATGGACCTTAGCATGTTAACATTTACTTTTACATGTTAACAACTACTTAGCACTAAACCCAGAGTACAGCTGAGGATGATGGGAATGTCAACAGTTTTGCAAGTATTTCCTCATTAATCAAAATATTGAAGCAGTTAAAATGTTAATGTGATGGTAGCGCTGTTTGAAAAGTCAGGGGATCACCAAAGTTGGTACACTTCATCCTGAGGTGGACGCCAATGTCTGTTCCAAACCACAGGGGGGATCCATATTCTGAGGACATGGACGTCACAGAGTTTCAAGGCAATCACTCAATCAAGGCAGTAGTTGTTGAGATGTTTCTGTATGGATCCAAGTGGTAAACTGACCGACCACCACTGCCATCCCCAAAGCTTTGTAGCACTGCTGAAAAAAAACCAGCACTTTAACAAACAGATACAGCCAGCACTGTTACAGTTTCTTCGTCTGTAAAGGCTTTTGTAAACCTCTGAATTCCATCTCTCCATCTGTCCTCTGCTACGTACTGTTGTTTACTCCTTTCAGGGTCACAGGTGACTGAAGCCTATCCCAGAATTCTGTGGGTGAAAGGCTTATGACTGAATGATTTTTGTTTGTGTGTGCATGCGTGTGTGTGCGTGCGTGCGTGTGCGTGCGTGCGTGCGTGTTCAGTTCCTGCATGCTTGAAATATAGTAGAATATTTTCAATTCTGGCTATGCTTGTGTGAGGGAGGATGTCAGTTGTCAGCTAAAGTAGAAGCATATTTAGAGACAAATGTCTTACAAGGACTTATGCAAAGCTTTGCTGTGAAATAACTCCAGCATACTAACACTACTAATATTGGACACTCTCTGTTTTAGGTTCCATAAGACTCTCTAAATTAGGTCTGTCAAATCAGGTTAGAAAGTAATGCAAGTATTGGGGGAGATTGACACCTTGGGAGACTTAACCACTCGGTGTTTAGACAAAATCAAAGAGTCATCCATGTGTCCTTGGTGGATCATTTCTTAGTGGGCTTATTGCCAACTCTTTTGTGTGCACTCCACTTAATCTGAATTAACCATCTTTATCATTATCAAGGAATTACAATTTCAACATCATGTCTCTGACCAAACTCTTACACCATATTCATAGAAATGGTAGAACCAGATTTCCTCAGTTAAAATGAAAAAGCTTCACTTATAAGAGCAGATAGACAGACAACACAGTCGTGTAGTGAAAAGGTAGTGTGTGACAATGCAGAAACTGAATTTTAAAAAGCCACCAATCTCAGTTCCTGGTGAAGTAACCGTTGAGTCATTGAGGTTTATTAACGACCTTGTGATGCTCTCAGCTGATATAAGTGTAATTACTTAATATTAGTTCCGAAAATCACAGCACAGGTCATAAAATTTCCACAAATGGATCAATATAGAAGATTTCATCATCATTGCTTTAAAAACTGTGTGTTTACACCTCTTTATTTGTTTATTTAGTAAAATAGTCCAAACTTTTCAAACTTATACTTATTTATATACTGGACACATTTCAGTCGGTTTGATTTCCAGCTCCAAGCAGGATTAGTAACAGTAAGAAGTCAGATGAAGAAATAAAACAGAGCTAGTCTGTTAAGAGTTTACAGAAATTTTCAGAAAATCTGAAAAAGAAAATGCACCCAATACGCATTGAGGATGCATTTGAGATCCAGTCACTCAGACTAGGCGTTTACCAGTGTGAAAGCAAATGTTTCCTGGGCCGCATTGAAGGACCACCTACTCACTGACGTCCGCTGCCACAGTCGAATTACTTCCACCGCAGTTTCATAATGAACTAAAAATAATTTCCTATTTGAAATGGCTAAAACCGTATCCCTTTGTAGAGCTGTGCGCAGCGCATTGATTCACTCAACCCCTCCTTCCCCACTCTCTCTAAGCTGGTGGTGGCGCTAATTCTCCAGTCGTGTCCCATTAAACGAATGCAGAAGAAGAGGGCACAACAAGATGACATTACTGTAAGAGCGCCAGTCAAACAAACGAAAACAATGTGGAAATATGCCATTTTTGTTCAGTGAACTTCTTTAAGTCATATGCTTCATATATGTCATCATTAATTCACTAAACCAGTTTCCGTTGCACTTCTGTTTGTTTTTTTTTTTATAAACCAACTTTTCCACCTGAGCGAAGCGTGAAAACTTTTTTTTTTTTTTTTTTTTTTTGCGATATTTCAATTTTTGGGGGGAATTTCTGACATTTCCTCCCAGGGGTGTTATGCGCAAATTGAAAATGCGCATAAAAACAGGAGGATGGAAATGCACCTCCTGCCTTTGTAGCATAAGCAACATGTTAGCGGTGCAACGGCAGGAGCCCTCAGTCAGTATCTACACAAAGTGCCATAGCACTGCTGTTCCTTCTGACACATTTTGACAGTGTTCCAAGCCCAACACACAAACAATACAGTCAACACATTAAAGGGAGGAAAATAGATTTGGAGCCTGAAAACACTTAATTTGCATTTAAGTGCATAAAACGTGGATTAGGACCGTTGCACAGCCAGTGCAGACAGCTTCATCCGTTAAAACTAAAGCATATCTGTTCAACAGATGCGCATTAGATGGATGACTGAAAAAGATGGCTGAGATGTGTCTGGTGTAAACAGGGCGTGTGTAGTACTGGCAGTAAGAGGTAAGAGCTATTTCGGCTTAAACAAGTAGTTGATTGACAGGAAATGTATTGGCATCAAGCTTGATAATTAATAATTTAAGCCATTTTTCAAGCAAAAATGTGAAAAATCACCTGAGGATTTTGGTAGTTTTTCTAAGTTTTCAGTGAGAGTGAACTGAATATGTTTGAGTTTGGGACCGTCGGTCAATCTATTTATTTGTGTTCATTTGTTATTTGTAGTCCCTAATTTTATTTCTTCTGTATCTCATAATCTCTCTGTAAGAATGCTGAATTGAAGCAACACTACTACTTCTTTTAAGTTTTAGTTAACTGATGTGTTAATCCTCAATCTTATTCTACCTCCCTGTGTTGAGCTTCTTCCTAGTATGAAATAATTGCTTCAGAATATGTAATTACACCACTCTCCAGATTGACTTGTACCATCTGTCTCGGGTCTTCACACATCACCTATGCAGGAAATAATTGTTGGGTCTAGTACCAAAAATCCCCTTATTTAAAGAGTAAAATTACAAATTGCTGACTTCATTTTTTTATCTCTTTCTCAAATTGAGCTTTTAGGGAAATGTAATGAAGACAAGATTACAAGAAGGATGATGTTTTTGTGATTTGAACCACAAACCACATTGGTTGCATTTCAATAAACACCACAATCAATACAGTTCTCCACAGATTTGTCTCAATCTACAAACATTGACAGTATCTGCGGATATGAGCCGGACATAATATTGAACCACACGGAAAAAAAAATAAAAAATTATCTGTGGTATTAGTTCACGTGTACACAAACAAACACACACACACACACACACACGCACACGCACACACATTGTCACCTACTCAGTATCACCAACCACACTGATAACGGGTCATGAGCACAATGTGGAAGAATGGAATGTGTGGTATGACCTTCAACCCAAATGTCAATGTTGCACTGTGGTGAGTGGGGGGAGAGAGACAGAGGAGTGAAATGGAATCTCAATGTGTTCGTAAATCACACAGAAAATGCTGTTTGTGTGTGTCAGAGAGAGCGAGACAGAAGGTGAGAAAGAAGACGACAGGGAGAAGGAAAGAAAGAGCGAGGGAGAGGGGGAGACACAGGCGGCATGTGTGGTCAGGCTCTATCGTGACTAACAGCCGGTTGTTATTCATCTTGGCATGCGACTCCCAGCAGCCCCCACACATCAGGTGTGAGATTGGCCGGGGAGAGGAGGGGTAAGGGAGAGAAGGGGGAGGTGGTGGGTGGGTGGGGGGGGGTTGTAACAGCATCAAAACATTCATCTTTCAACGCGACGAATCTGTGCTTTCCTACCAGGCAACCCCTGCGCCCCTCCTTCCAAACCTGCCCCCTCTGGCTCACTCACCGCCCCTCTCTTGCTTCGTCTAAGCTGCTCTTTACCTGTGGGGCTTTTAGAGGGCTTTTAATACACTACGCACATGCCATATATACAGTAAAAGAGTTGTTGGTGACTTTAATCATTCCTCTCCAGACTCGACTTGAAGAGATTCACTCCTAACTTGACTACAATGAAAGAAATAGGGCACAAAATCCACAGTCAATATTCCTATGATCGGCAGAAAAATTGTTTTACGTAAGAATCAGGATCCTTATCTTCTACTATTCTGAATCTATTCACAGATTCCAAGCATTGATTTTTGTAGCTTATTAATAAGGCTGTGGTTTCTCTTCTCTTCGATATAATGAAGACAGTGGAAGCTTACCATGAGGGCATCTTCAAGGAGGGCAAGAATTTTGATTTAATAACTTAATAACTAGTTTTGCGAGATGATAGCGACTACAAGTCAGCCAGCCAACACACACTGCACCACTTATACTGAGTATAGTCTGGTCCACAGGTTGTGAAGCGAGCCCCCCCTGAGGGGAACTGAAAGGGAGGCGTGGACGGAGAGACATGAGGCAAAGATACTACCTGTTGTGAAAAGGACAGGTGCATGCCACTGATTCGGCCCGCTCACCAACATGGTCAGTATTCACTGCGTGTCACAGCGGCAGTGGATGTGACGCACGGCTCATGGAGGCAATTAAGAAACTACTTCTTCTTGGAGTCGTAACACAGTCGAGACTGGACACACAGATGTGATAGACGCATCTTTTTGGTTCATTGTTACTTACACTTTCCGAGAATAACATTATCCAGTGTCCATCATGTGTAAACATCCATTAATTCACTTAGAAATAAAAAAAAAAAAAGATGCTTCTTACAGCTCCAGAACTTGCCTGAGATTCATCAAGTTTTCTTCAGTATCATAGTAATCCAGTGGTAGTTGGTTGCACATCAATAGGCACGATGCAAACTCCGAGCTAATTTGGCATACTGCTGTTGATGCCAGTTTGCCAAAATGTAAAATAATACAGGGTTAAGCTAGTGTTGTAGTTTTTGCATCGACAAGTAGACAAGGCTCCGCGCGACGTAAATTTAGTCATCGGGTGTATATGTGAGGCTCTGTGTGGATGTACCAGGACATCCACATGGATGTGTAGACTTCCTACAAGGGCACCAACTGCGCATGTGCTCCGCCAAGCAGACTGGAAAGAATTATAAAAAAACAACAACTCTGCGTCCGTAATGTCCGCAGATGTCCATGTGAGTGTATGCAAGGGAGTGTAATTGAGGCCTTTAAAAAAAGGCGGTCACGTTTTAGCCCACAGCATAACTCACTGAGGGCAGGGGAGTTGGGGTGGGCGGTCGCAGTTTTCTCAATTTTGTTCTGAGGGGGGGCCCAGAGTGTCAGACCTTGAAAACCCTTGGTCTAATTTATGGAGATTAACTTGATATAGTCTATTTCATTTCAAAAAGACCTGTACCTTCTTTCAGACCTCTGAATCACCGCCCACAGCTCTGATATGTTCAGCGGTTCAAATAGGTGTTGTGCTCCTTAAAGGCTGTTTCCCCTCAACCAACCAATCAGAGCTTTCCAGACGGGATTTAAAAAATTCAGGACGTCATCCTCCTACATAGCTACAGTCATGAAAAACAATAACAGAAAAATGGTGTCAAGTGATGATGAGGCTGATGCAGCTGCACATGTTGTTGTAAGTCAATCTACTGAAGTACCTTAAATCCCCATCAATTTTTGTTGTGTGAAACATCAGGTTAACCGCTCTTAGCGAGTGCTAATACAGTTCCCATGTCGCCTGGAAATGGCAGTGGCGGGATGGATGCGTCACTTGCTACTGATTGGTTAGCACATAACAAAAGATCCCTAACACCCAGCAAGAAACTGGCTCGTTGTCAGGCTGAATGAATGAAGGGAAACAAAATAGCAATTCAGACTGATAATCAGGCTTCTGTGCCTGCACAGCGTTGTAGATAAGGATAGGTTTCCCTGGCACTAACACTGCAGCAGAGAGGGTGTTCACTGCTGGTGTTAGCTGTTAAGAGCACAGCGGCGCTCTCCTACTTTAGAGCACATAGACCAACTTCTGTTTCTAGAAAACAGTGACATTCTTTAAGACCAGTTTGCTTAGTTATGTTTCCTACAATCCAGCGGACGACATACGAGTGAATCGTCTGATACAATGGTCTGTCGCACAGTGCTCTAAAAATAGTGCCCTTTTGTATTTATTGAATTGAGAATCGAATTGTGACACCGAGAAAGACGATCGAACCAAATCATGAGATTCCCAACGATTCCGACCACTTCCTGTTTTTTGTAGTTCAGCAGAAGCTGCCAGGAGACTTCAGCGGTCTGCGCTAGTGCAACCAAAACCAAAACTAAGTAGCCTGTTGTGATTACAAACCTGCTGCATGTATACAAGGATTTCACAATAACCATGTCACTAAACGTGTCGTCTAATTACCTGCATAACCTGATTTCACGATCGTGGTTTCTGTGTGCATGTAAACATGCTGCTGTGTGTATCTTGCTTTATCTAGTCCTCCGTTCTTGTTTTTTCTCTCTTATCTCTATCTCTGCGCTGTATGCGTGTCTCTTCCCCTGCCTGTGTTCCCTATAACCTGCTACAGCATCTCCGGCATTTATCTCTCTTACATTATTTCTGCTGCTCTCCTTTGTGTAGCATCTCCCTCCCACCTGTGTGCGCTCCCAGTTGCCTCCCCCTCCTCCTCCCCCCTTTCTCGCTCTCTCTCTCTCTCTCTCCTCCCCTGATATTGATCTGCATTCTAGCCATACAGCTGAACCGCCTGTGGCTCTGCAATGAGCTCACCTCTCACTTCTTCTACTGTGTGTACGCGCGTGTGCATGCAGGAAAAAGCTGCTCCCAATCTCGTATCTCTCAGTATCACTGCAATCTTAGACTACGACAACGCAGTTACTCCACTGAGTTTCAGCTGGTTAGATTAAAAATCCTCAGCCTCCCATTGCTCTCTGTGATCACCTTCATTGTGTTTTAAAACAATTGAATTCACTATACAGTTGTTCTCATTTACACATTTCATTTCTGTTCCTCTTGGCAGACAAACTGAACGAGCATGAAGTAATGATTTTAACGCGGGCCACAAATGTTACACTGGGACGTCACAAGCTTGTCGGACAACATCAACATTAATACAACCAAATGGCAACACCTGTGTTGTGTGATTGGTCGTATTAGGATTTGAAATGAATGATCAGAGAAGTTTAAAAGCGACAGAAAGTCATCATTTTATCTTTAATGCTTAATCCCATGGGTTTGTAAACTTATCCGATGACAAAGCACTGAACAGTTTATAATGCTAACACAAGATTGTACAACTCTAGGAAGTTATCAAGCGATTCTTATATCTTACATCACAATGATGGTGATGTAAACAGTAGAAATATAGCTTTCACGCCTCAAAGCAATCTGTCAAAAGTTGAGCCAGTTTCAACTTTTCTTGTCAGATGACCCTGCATTTTGTTTTATTTATTTATTTGTTGGCTGGAGCCCTCTGCTTTGGCACAGGATGTTATTTGGTGGTTTAGGTCACAGTGAATAGCAGCCTGTCATGTCTCTTGTGTTTAAGGCTGGATGTGTGAACAGGAGGTGAAACACTTGGCCAGCGTTTTCAAATTCATCAACTGGAGGGACTACGTTAAAACCAGCTTAGTGTGGATGGGTGGTCAGAACGGAGAGAGAAGAAGAAGAAGCATTTTTCAGATTTAGCAACCTCAGTGCGAACACACTCTTTACACCAGCACAAAATGTGTGTGTTAATTCCAAACTATGTGCGTGTCTGTTTTCTAGCTGGCTCTGCAGTCGCGGCTGTGTGACAGGACTCGGATCGGAGAGTACCACCCCGGGGCTGTGCGCTACACACAAGCTGACCTGGTCAACCTCAGCGATGACGACGACGATGACACCAACGTGCTCTTCTACTCCCCTGACATGACCCTGAAAGACCGAGGGCCCTGAGAGAGAGCGCGGCAGAGGGAAAGAGAGAGAGGGAGACAAAAGAGCTGGAGGGAAAGAACATGAAGGAGGGTCACAGCCAGAGAGAAACGCAGCGGATTAGAAACTGAGAGGGAGAAAAAAGAGGTAGGGAGGGAATGGAAGAGAAGATTGGGGGGACAGTCAGGCAGATAGAAGCCGGAGATGAGCTGTCAGGTTCCATTATTAATCCCCATCCTTTACTATTTAATATCCTAAAGACACACACACACACACACCCAGACACACACACACACACACACACACACACACACACACTGTACAGAGCAGTAGCTCCCTGCAATACTATCATCAGAGAGGAGCAAGAAAGGAGTGGTTCTAAAGATCCTCCTAATGTTAAAGGCATCGGCTGCATCCCGAAGGTTTTAAAACAATTTCCCCAATCTACACCACCACCCTGACTCCTGCATTCTGCAACGTTTTGGCGTACCACAAAAAAAATGAAAGAAAGAAATAAAACATAAAGGACTGCTGAAAGGCAATCATAACAAGGTGTTAGTTTAGCATTCGCAGCAATTACCTTTTCACTTCTCTGCAGGAGATGAGGTGAAAAGAACCAGTTTCAAAAGCACCCCATGTGTCAGACATGAAAGCATCTACGACTACACTCAGATTGATCCCAGGCCAGTTCTGAACAATTTTCCTGCCGATAGGTGGGAAGTGGAGTACAATAGAAATATAGAAAGGTGGGGTTTGAAAAACAGTGAAGATGACTTGGAAGGACAACTGAGTCCCTAAGTGTTGCTTGCAAGGAGTCTCTCCTTCCTCAGACAGTATTTGGTTTCCGTTTTGCTCTTTGTATTACTATTGTTGCAACTTTCGTATAAGTATTCCTTTGAAAGGTTGTTTTGCATTTTTTATGAAATACTAAACTTGTTTCTTATACTGTATTTATAACAGATCAATATGATGTATATATTTAATTGTACACTCTATTTTTGTACGTGCCTTGGACTGGAATGTGAAGAAAAATGCTCCTCTTGGTCCAAACCCGCTGCTCTCACGTGACAGTCGAGCAGAGACTGAGTCGATCCACAGCCTTATGAACAGATAAAAAACAAAAAAAAACATGTCATTAGTCAAACAAACACCCACAAATACACTCACGTGCATCTTTCTAAGGTGCCTGTCAAAACAGACTTGAAACGATGACACACAAGGCACCTACGGCAGAGCAGCAGCTCTTGATGGTTCATCATCTCATGGCTTGTGTCAGTGATGCTGAGGGCACAGAGCTGAGGTGTGATTGGCAGGATAATAGAGTCACTTTATATTCAACCAAGGCCCATTTGGTTTTTCCCATATGTAGGTGGTTTCGTCACTGTCGGTGCACACTGCCAGCTGTCAGCTGCCTCTCTGACAAGTTGAACTAATGAACTGACACTTGACCCTTTTTACCCTTGAGTTGTTGAACTTTTCTGCTGGGCGTCAATGACACCAGAGTGCAACTTTAGTTTGCAGTTCACAGAGGCCCACCACTGAATTACACACACACACAGAGATACTCACACACTTGCACTGTGCCCCTACCCCTCTTTTGGCACTGTTGCTCTTTTTACTTGACTGTGCACTCCATCAAATAAATGAGCAGGAGAGACATTTCATAACAAAGCTCAGGCTGGGCGTGTTTATTTCATTTTCACATTGATGCTATCCCTCATTCCTTCATGCGCCTGCCCTGCCTCCTGTGAAGGTTGTGTCCGTTTATGTGTGTGTGTGTGTGTGTGTGTTTGCGCGCGTGCGCGTGCGTGTGTGTGTCAGTCAAGACGTCTTTTAGACCTGAGCTGGCCAAATAATGGATATTAATTATTGGTCGGACCCTGCCGGCCCCCGCCGTGTCTCCAAATCTGGTTAACTGGATTTTGATTAATGAAATATGCGCGCCATGTCCTCCAGAAAACCAGACTTTTCCTCCACACACACACACGCACCCCTCACACACACACGCGCCGCTCTCCCACAAACGTTTGAACATTTCAAGCCCCGCACCCTTTCCTTATAAAGCGCCCGGAAAATAAGCGAATCTCCCTGTCACGCAAGAAGAATTATTATTCCCCCCTCATATCGTCGCATGCGCCGTAATTGGATACAATTTAACACCCGCGGCCCACGGGCATGTCGGCAGGCGCACTGCCTACTATTAGCTCACCTCGCCTCGCTTCGCCACCCTATCATTTGTCAGATCTCTGTTTGTGTGCTCCTGCTGCCTGTGTGTGTGTGTGTGTGTGTGTGTGTGTGTGTGTGTGTGTGTGTGTGTGTGTGTGGCTCGAGAAACCGGAGCCATTGTTGGAGTCCGGCCATGACCTAGCTGTGACGCACAGAAACAGAGGAGAGGAAGACAGACGCAGAGAGGCGACAGCAGCAGCCCAGACGCTGAAAAACAAGCCGGAGCTCTGTCACCTCGGAGCGAAAGCGAGGCAGGCCTGACGGGTGTTTGTCGCTGCTCTGCGCAGCTCCCACCTATAGTCTGCTGTTTATTGGAGCCCCGGCAGCATTTACAGGCGGGGATGTGGTGGAGGGTAAGAACCCCTCCTAAACCCATCTTACAGTAAATATAAGACTGGAGAAGGTTAATGGGGCGATTACAGCCTTCATGGGTGATGCCTTGAAAGTATAAATAATTGCGTTGAAGTTGTTGCGTAGCCCTTTACATCAGATGTTTTAATTATCTAGTTTTGCTCTGGGCTGTTTGTATTGAACTGGAGCTTTATGATTAAGAATGTGTGGAATTGCCCTCTTTGTGCCAACAATTAGCTGGCCATCAGGGGGTTTGGTGAATCCCTGCATGCAGACGTAGGACTGGCATGACAGCGATTGCAGAACTTGAAATACAAAGGCTAATGTTTTTTTTATGTTCAAAGGTAAACCTTAATATTTTTACACAGATTTAAGATTGGACCCATAACCTGTGGTTTTCTTATTGTCATCAAATCCCATGAAAGAACGAAGCCAGTCTTTCAGTATCTTCCAATTTCCCTATACTACAGCACTCAGCCCTAAGCCCATCTCTTCATACTGTTATTAAAAGCCTGCTCCCACACAAATATATAGTTTCATGTTTGCAAAAAGTGAAGTTTTTTTTTTTTTTTTAAACAGTGGTACTTTTTTTTTTTTTTTAGCAAACATTACTGAAACCAGAGTACATATTGCATTTGTTGGGGACTATTTTCAGCAGTGTGTTAATACACATTTGGTGCCCTCCTGAGTATTCATGACACCGGGAAGAATGTTGGGTTTACTCCAAATAAACCAACCGGTGTGCTTCATAGTGAAGGAACATGTCACCCAGTACAACAATGGCTCATTGGTCTTTTCATGGGATTTAGTGACAATAAGAAAGATACGGAATATCACCAGATATATCCTTGAGTTATGTTGACTCATTTTTTTCATTTACCTTCTATTCTGAGGTTATTCTTGGTATTTTTGCCTTTTGCTTTGACAGTTGATGGTAGAGATTGACAGGAAACAAGAGGTAAGATCAAGGGGGTTGACATGGAACAAAAGTCCCAAAAAGTCCCAAAATTCCCAGGCAGACAACTGTGATAGGGCCCTGTTCCCCTAGGGACCTGGAAAACCCCTAAGTTCATTGTTTGTCACATAGTTTTTGGTAATTGTAAAGGGATCCTTTGTAAAATAAATAAATAAATAAAATAAAATGAAATCAGGTTTTAAGACAACAAAACAACTCAGTGGTACATTTTTCACCTATAGGGCCACCTAACAGGTTAATCCTGCCAGTGTACAAACAAACACAATAACTTTAATCTACTTTCTGAAATTAGAAATATAGAGATGCAAATAGATGTGAAGTCAAATTAATGGTGACGTGACTTAAAATCCATGTTTAAACATCAAATTCTCAGGTGGGAAGGTGGATTATGCAGAAACGATGCTTGTAGGGATTCCTCAATGAATTTGAATCTGTGATCATTTGAGCAGAGCTGAACAAAACTTCTCAGTGTTGCAGGATCACCACTGTGATAAATTGTAAACACCAAACAAATATATGAAAACAAAATTCAAATTTTCAAAGCTCAACATGTTACCAGTAGGCACAGTGTAATACATCCGTGTTAATGTGGTCTGATATGTTTGAAGGCCATTTTAATTATGATATGCAGTAGATGCAAATGAGAAGAAAATCCGTCATGTGTTTGGGAGTTTCTAATATGTCTTAATGTACAAATGCTATACATTATTGTATGTCCCAATAGGAATCTAACATCAGACCAATTAGACCATTTACAGTGAAGAAACATTTTGAACATCATGTCACAAATATTGTAAATAAATGCTTTTATTTTGACAGATTCAACCATTACCCTCCATTCAGCCCACCCCCCACTAGCCACTAACCAAATTTAAGCATTTAAAAATAAAACAAAAACGTTCCACCATCTGTTACTTTCACTGTTCAGTTAGGCCTATATTTTATCTCCAATGGTCTGAATGATGCTATCATATGTATTCCTATTTTTTTATTAATCTGACTAATCATTTCTCAATTTATTATTTTGACTATTTGGGCACAATGCCAGGAAATAGTGAAAACTGCCAATCACACTTAACCCCAACCCAAGCTGATATTCCAGTGTCAAATAGTTTGGTCTGACCCACAATCCAAGCTCGAACAACATGTAATTAACTGTCATATAAGAGAAAGGAAAAGCTGGAACCAGCAAATAATCATTTCATTTTCTGTCCATCGACTAATCAATCGGGTCTAATCGTTCCAGTTCTAGGCTAAAGTGTGTTGTGTGAGGCTTCCCTTCGCTGCCATTCAGACTGAGAATAAACCTGCTGAATTCCTTCCATCTTTAGTTTTTTGCCAAATATAGAAATATTTAGGCCAAAAACACCAGAAGCAGCCTTAAAAACCGGCATGTTTAATATGTGTGTCATAGCCTAGTAACCTCCAAAAATTCCCAGAAATATTACCGAGGACATGACCTCGGTTTCTATGACCCTGCTTGTTTTTATATTTTCTTCAGAATTTTGTTTTAAATGTCCATATTTCCCTGCGTCGTGTCTAATATCAGCTCGGCTGTAGCTACAGCTGCCTGAGCTGATCGGAGAGCAGGAGCGAGCGGAGCTTCAAGCGCTGCGATCCGGCCCCGAAAGAGTTAAATTAATCTCTCTACGCTACCATCTCTCTCTCTCTCTCTCTCTCTCTCTCTCTCTCTCTCTCTCTCTCTCTCTCTCTCTCTCTCAACACACACACAGGCTGCCACCGCCCCAGATAACAGAGGGGCGCCTCTCCCTAGCCAGCCAGCCTCCGCTAATCGCAGTGGCAGGAGGGGGGAGTGGAGTGCCGGCGGCCTCTCACAGCGCTGGGCCTTTTATTGACGCTGCCTGTGTGTGTGTGTGTGTGTGTGTGTGTGTGTGTGTGTGTGTGTGTGTGTGTGTGTGTGTGTGTGTCATGCGCGCGCGCGCGCGCGTGTGTGTGTGTGTCATCTGTGCGCGTGTGTGTATGTGCGTGCAAGACTGTGCATGCTTGTGGGTGCGTGTCAGAGCGAGAGAGCTATAAAGAGGTGTGTGTGTCTGTGTGTGTGTGTCTCTGTGTGTGTGTCTCTGTGTGTGCGCTCCCCGCCAGCAGCGGAAAGCAGGGAGAGGCGGGGAACTGGGAGGGTGGGTGGCGAGGTTATGAGCGGAACTCGACAGAGGCCGACAGACGAGAGAGAGGAGGGGAGGGAGGGAGGGAGGGAGGAGGAGGAGGGGGGATCTTTCTTGTGCTGCGCTGAGAGCCGCCACCGCTTCTCCTTCCTTTCAGATAAGGTTCGTTTGAAGGTTTTAGTCTTTATTCTCTTTAAAAAAAAAAATGAAGCCACTAAATGTTTCTGTCCGCGCGTTTTGGAAAGAGGGAAAAAGCCGTTTATGATCCCCAAGGTCGGAATGAGACAAGTGTGATTGATCTCATTGGTTATTTTATTTTACGGGCGCACTGATTGCATCGATGAATTTAGCAGCCTATTGATTAGGGCTTAATCTATAGGTCCGTGTCTCTCAGTGCTCCAATAATTGCTCGCTCTCTCTCTCTCTCTCTCTCTCTCTCTCTCTCTCTCTCTCTCTCTCTCTCGAGCAGCGGCAGCAGCAGCAGCAGCAGCAGCAGCAGCAGTGTTTGGCTCGGAGCCACTCTCGCCCTGCCGCGCCAGGCTGTAATTATCCCCGGTGAGGCCGCGCTAACGCAGCGTGGCGCGCCTGTGGGGAACCGGTTAGCCCTACAACACCGGTGGGGGTGCATGGATGTGCGCTCCCCCTTGTATACTGGAGCTATGTGTGTGTGTGCGCGCTCGCTGTGTGATGTTTTTTTTGTTGTTGTTGTTCATGTGACACAGAGGGGAAAAGTAGCGTTGTGTTGATATTTCCCTTTCTTGAATCAGAGCACCTTCAAGCCCTTACATGAACCTTTACAGCTTTGGATATGAATTATAGATCAGGAAATTGATTTGACACTATTGATATGCTCACTATACAGTCACAATTGATCATCATATCATAATGAGTCCCCAGAAACATATTATATTTTTCAAACTAAGATGAACATGAACAAAGCCCATTCGGCACCATGAGTGTAGACTGTGTGTTGAGTT